TGAGTATAGTTAAGAATTTGTCAGTATTGTCTCTTATTGATATTATCTGTTCTGGTCTTTTAAATACCATAAATATACAAATATAATAAACAGTAATTCACAATGGGCTCATTCAATTCCATGCATTTAGACATGCATGATATGTTTCCATATTTTTCCTGTTCCCTGTTATGATTTTGTTTTATTGGTACCCATCACCCATAGTTTTATATTTTTTTGAATGGTCAAAAGAAATCAAACTAGAATCTATACACTGGAAGGAAAACTGCATAAACTGATAATAAATAATAAATTACATATGGCTAGTATACCTGTCCAATTAAGTCTGTGCGTTAATACATTAACACGTTAGACATGCTAACAAACTTAATGGCATGAAAAGGTGTGAACCCCCCAGATTATATTGTTCTAGCTGAGCTACTTTTGTACCTTCAGTATAACCCCAGCAGCAATGTGCAATGCCTTCACTCCTTTCCATCTCCATGTCTCCAGAGTAAAACACATACACTCTTTTTAGATAAGCTTCTACATGACAAGATGTTGCCCCAAAAAACATGCAACATATGTGTGAAAATCCATTTGCAAAAACAAGTCAGCTGATGCATGAGTATATGTCCCATAAAGCCTTAGGGTGCTAGTTGAAGGCAGTAGAATAGCAATAACAAATGACTAGTGCAATAGAGACTCATATGGCCCTTATACTCACCTGCTCCCTATGAAAGTGAATCATAGCACATAGCATAAAGCTAAAAGTGTACTTCTGTTCAAAAATCTGTATAAGGGTGCAGGACATCACTTTGCAAATCAACAAAACATAATGTGACATGTGTGAACTTTGACATCACTGCTAGGATATGCCTTGTCAGATTGCATTATATCTTAATAGTGGCATTTGTCCACAAAAACAGAGGGTGGCATGATTTTTGAAATTATTGAGGAGTCTCTAAAATCCACCACAGACATAGCTCCAGCACTTCTGATGCTCCTTCTGCGTACTTGTAGGCTTAGAAATGTAGCCTATAAGCAAATAATGAGAGGGGTCTGGGGGTCTTTTACTTCGGCTGCATTTTTGATAGAATTATTGAGAATAAGAGCCCTAATATAGACGCATTAAATGATTGGTGAAATTTCTTTAGAGCTGAAAATAATGGAACCTTCCTTTTCCTATAAATATATTTAAGTTAATAACATATATGATAGAGGCATATGTGGTATAATATCACATAATATGACTTAATATGACTACATTCATTTTTATTAATGAATTTTAGTGTTGTTGATTCACTCAGACTCTGTTAAACACAAATTTAGGTTTCTAATTCAAAACCTCATGCAAAAATGTATTTATTAATGATCAACAAACATCAATTTCACCCAACAAAACTGCAAAGACAATTTCACATTCTAGCAGTTCCTTCTGATGCTCTGGGTCTGTAAATATTTCCTGCTTTAGTGGTAAATCTCTGACGGGATCCTGAGAGAAGTGGGTTGTTTAGGCTTTGTGGAGCATGTTGAACAGCTTGTATAAAGAATTAATTACCTGGGAGCTGTAAAAGTAACAAACATTGAAATACAGAGAAAGTGTTGGTGAAGTGGGAGGACGACATGAAATTTAAGTCCAAATAAATCAAAATAAATGTCTTCTCCTGGTTCACAGCACAGATGCCGGCTTTCTTTCTGTAATATTTGATGACAATTTTACCTTATGAGCCACAGTGAAGTTTTATGAGTGAGTTTGATCTGTGTCAAGCAGTACACAACACAGTGGAGTAAATAATGTAGGTCTCCGTGGTGATTGTGTGAATATACAATACATATTTAATCCCTCGCATCACACTGGATTGCAGAATTATCTGACAAGTGGATGACAATGGATGTGTTTTTAAGTAATGTTATTACTTGATCTTAGCTGACTGCAGTGCATGTTCTTTTTTGTAGACCTACACACAAATCAAATTTTGACAACATAGAAGTGCTGTTGCTCCCCATGTTGTCAGACAGTTCACCACTGCTTCTTCCATGTTGTACTGACAAAGGCTGAGCAGGAATAGCTCACAAGAGCACTGGCTTTAGAAGTGCTCTGGCCCAGACATCGGAGAGGTTTGCTTCAGTTTAGTGACTTTTTAAGCAGGAAAGGAAGAAGGTTTTTTTTAAGGCCATTAAAAACTGCTAGAATAAATATGGGAACCCCCTTGTGTTAGGCATTTTCTTGTTGGTGATTCCAGATATCTAAAAAATAATTGGTTCATCGATCAAAAAAGCTATTTCTTTGCCCTGCCTGTACAGAAAACTATGATCCATATGTGAGTCCATTTATATAAACATATCAAACCTGGTAATGTTAGTCTATGGACTGCTGGCGGTACCAGCAAATGAGGCCTTTACCAATCAAACTGTCTGTGTCACCTCTTACTGTCCATGGTCAGCATCAGCACAAACAAAGTCACACAGACAGGGCCTCTACACATGTCCTGGAAAATCCTTTCTTAGGCTGCATGGCCACAGGGCAGACACTACATCAAACTTGTGCTGTCAAGGTCAGGAACTGTCAAACTGCACTCTGCTGTTTGGGTCTGTGACCGGTCACAGCCACTGCCAGGGAAGGGCAGTGCTCTTATTGATTAAAAAGAAGTCCAGAAATGACAAAATGCTAAGCCTTTGTGGATCTCTAATTTGATTGAAAAGAATATTTGTGTAAAAATAACCTAAAATTGAATATGTATCGCTTGAATCTTCTGCTGCTACCTTTGCCTCACCTTTCAAGTCATTCATACAGTACATGTATTTGTCCTCTTGCCATTTCAGCAATGTGTCCCAAGTTCTCATTTGACTTCTTACTGATCCACATTCTCCCTCATATTACATTGCTGGTATCTCAGCGTTCACATTCCTGAATGTAAACGTTCAGTAATTCATTGTGCCTTAATCATTTGCAGCTTTCTTTGTTCAGTTGCTGTTGCCAAGTTTAGAATATAATGTGTGTTTATTTTAATTTTTTTTCATTGTAGTATTTTTATGGAACTAGCAGAGCATGGCCTTAAATTCAAAGACATGTGAAGTGCATGTCACTTTAAATACAGTGTTTAGCAGCAATTTTTCTCTTGGTTGAGTAGCCTGCTGAAGCCTGTATGCTCAACTCATATGTGACAGAGGACCTGTGCCTCACGCTACTCGTCTGTCCTCCTCTTTGCACCTGCTGCACACTATGTGATGGAAGCTCCTCAGAGTACTGGCAGATTAGCAGTAGCAGTTCACTTCAGATTAGGGTTAACTCTGCTCTGGCCCTCCTCCCTCTGTGGGGCAGCCTGGTGAGAGTGGAGAGCATCTCCCAGATTTAATTGTTGGCTGACCTCAAAGGTCACAGAGTGTGGGAATATAGCACTATGGGAACATACAGCACTAGTGACATTATTTCCCTTGGTTAAGAATGGGCTTTCCTAGATCCAGACTTAACAGTAAACATTTGTTGTAATTATATTTTAGCCTAGTTGTATGTCACTGAAAATGATGGAAACACACTGGCTTTGTGGCCTGTATCTTTAGCATTGCCATATTAGTATAACTATTGCCCCTCCAAACATTCTGTGCGTTTATTAGTCTCACAATTCAAGATTACAAATTGTGTGTTTCATTGTTGATCAGTGTAGAAAGGTTGCTCGGCCAGATGAAAAAACATACATGGCATGTCCCACCCCATGGTTTGTGTCCAGACCATCCTGCATTCAAACAGAGAGTAGAATGGATTGGCTAGACAGGTTCAGCAGTCAAGTAAAGTGAGATTAGGTTGAACTTCAAAGTAAATACTGTAGTGATTTTTAGATAAGGCAGAGTGACAGATAGGACAGTCTGGCAGCATAAGGGGCAAAGCTTGTGAAGGACTCACGGAGTATCTGTTTCAAATCCCCTTTGTTTCATTTTGTACAAGATGCTTTGACCCTAGCATTGTACTGTGTACCATATTGACAATAGGATATCTGTAGCCTTGCACTCTGGCAATTTTATGAGACCATGGCCAATGAAGTCAGTGAGAGCTGACACTGAAAAAGAATTCTTACATTTCTATGAAAAAAATGACAAATTGCTGCAAATGTAATGTTAATTTTAAAGAAAAAGACTGGGAAATATGTGTAGTCTTGACAATAATGTGATCATGATCATGATGCAGGGTTTCGTAATGAGGATGGTTATGGAGCTGAAAATGGTGAATCTGGAGACATTTTGGGGCGGCTTCTCCTAAGAGCCACTATGACAGGTACCATCTGGGCTCTGATGGTGTATTTGGAGATTAAGAATGATGAACAAAACCCTCATTTCCACTATCGAGAGGAGACTTCATATTGCAGGTCCATTTCCTCCTCACAAATATGCTTCTCATTTTGATTCATCTTGAGCTGAGCACATTTAGAGTCAGCATTTTCAGTGGACGACATGTTTTATTGGTGAGAATTAATACAGATCCGTTTGCACATGCAGAAGTATGTATCAAAAATAAATGAGCTTTATGCAAATATTCTCTTTGTTTCTAACACTGAAAGTGTTGTGAGGCCGCTCCCTTAATATCTCCACACATCAGTGCTTTATCGTACTCCCACAATTCCCACGAACAAGGAAAGGCATGCATTTCATCTCTTTGTCTGCATTTAGGATTATTGTATTATGAATATATTCCCCCTTTTTTCTGGGATTTCAATTAAGTATGCAGATTGTGCAATGATTTGATTCAAAGTCAGTCAAGATTTAATGGATTCCTTTTATTAGCTTCCGACAAATTGCCTTTTTAGTGGGGAAGAGTGTTTGCATTATTCATTTGTGAAAGAGCAAGCATTTATGAGTTCATTTAGTTTTGCTGGAGATGAGCACAGCAGCAAACCAGCAGTGGGATTTGGAGAGAGAGATAGTGAGTCATGGGCGAGCGGAGGAGGAAGAGGAGGATGATGATACTTATACAAATGAAGATGATATGACCTTTGACCTCTGTGCTGCATCTGCTGCCTCTCCAGGTGATCCAGCGCAGGGAGGACGGCTCGGTCAACTTCTTCAGAGGATGGGAGTCATACAGGGAAGGTTTTGGAAAGATCACTGGAGAACACTGGCTCGGTAAGTGTTTAACACACATATGCTTTCATCATTGGTGGGTTACATTTTAGTGCCACACTTATTGTGAAAAGAAACATTAGTAGATCTTATGATGGTCACATATTCTCCAAGGATAAAAATGTGGCCACTTTTCTGGTGGAGGATCCGCCACCTGCTTGTCTCCATAGTGATGTTGTTGCTTTGCCTGGAATGTTACATGGTATGAAATTAAACATTGCAAGGCTTTGGGGGCAGGAGTGCTACTTGGATATGCAAAAAATGTGCAGAATTGTTGTTTTGGTGCTCTTCAGTGTAGGGACCAGTCTCAAATACAAAATAGGAAAAAAACTGAGGCACTCAAAAAGTACAAAATAATTAAAAGCCTTTAATACCACAATGCAGATAAAGTTAAAATACGCCAACGTGTTTCAGCCCTTCAGTTTGCCCTGATGATGAACATGTTGGCATATTTTAACTTTATCTGCCATGTGGTATTAAAGGCTTTTAATTATTTTGTACTTTTTGAGTGCCTCAGTTTTTTTCATACTTTGTATATGAAATTAAACATATTCATCTATTCATTAAGGGTGTTCCTGTTGCTTAAAAATACAATGATTCCTTCTGTGAATAGGGGCGACTCTCCACAGATCTGAACTGTAGTGTAGCATTGTGCTGTAACCTGCTCGTATCTCGTGTCTCTCTAGATAGTTTAATGTATAGTGTGGAACATTCTAGACAAAGTATTTTCCTGGAGACATTATGTGGCAGACCCTTCACTAGAAATATTACACAGTACATCTTTAATTGAGCTGATCAAACCTCCTGTCTTAATGGTATGTGATTATAGTATCTATAGATACTCAAAATGAAATATTTGATAGTGTAGTCGTCAATGCTTTCTAGCATTAGCAGGATACAGGCAGTATAATTATACGATGTTTAAGGTTGTGGATATACAGTCATTTCTGATACTCATTGGTTATTACCATCTGAAGGTTTGGTTCCATTCAATTGCTTTGTTTCTTCTTTGAGGAAAGTCAATAAGGGGAAGTCCTTAAAGTAGTCATCACTTATAATTGGTGGTGTAAACACATTTTTGGGCAAGGTGGATAAAATATCTTGCCCAAGGACACAACAACAGCATGCAAAAGTGTAACCATGCAAGATTCAAACAGAAGTCTGATCACTTATGCCATTTTTCCTTCATACATTATATTTGAATGGTCCTCAAGCTTCAAATGAATAATTAAAATAGCCGTTAAAAGGTACATGAGTGTGCTTAATCACAATTCATTTGCAGCTGAACTCTGCCTTTGATTTTTTACCTTTTATGAGAACTGTCATGCTTTTTTCCCTTTCTTGTGTGCCTCACACTGACATAATACACATCTCCTCAGTTTGACAGAAATAAAAGACTGCCAGCAATGTATTCAGCTGTGAAATTATCACCATTCAAAAGCCAAATTTTTCAACCTCGCACAGCCTTTCATTAAATGGACCAAAATACATGCTTTCTCTGGGGTTACGCTTAGGTACAGAAAAAGTCGCTAAAAGATTATTTCATTTATGTGGTTTTCAAAGTGCACAATAGTACAATATATTTGTGTGGTTAGGGGTTCACCGCCTGCTTTTTTCATTACTTGCCTGGAATTACACAGTATGGCATTAAACCTATCAAAGGCAGGTGTTTTATTGCTCAAAAGTCTTTTGAGAAACAGTAACTGGAACATATAAGTCTGATGTACCATGAAATATTCCAACACAATAACATCTGTAACTAATTTATTTGGCTTTATTATTAACGGTGATTATCTGATTACTTGACTTATTTGTTAGGTCCTTTTTCTGTGGTGTAAGAAAACGTTATAAAAAGATGAAAATAGTACACCTTGTTAGTGTTAGTTGTGTTAGAGGATCAATGGTTTTGTTTTTCTGTATGTGTTTATTGTGGTTTATTGTGGTTTCCCTGTAGATCAAAACTTCATAATGTACTGATGAAAGTAAAACTATGAACTGTAGTCAGTGACAGGTCATCTGCCCACCAGCACTGACTCATTGTGTTATCCCTATGCTGTTTATCTTGTCAACCACAAACTGGTATTAATAACATCAGAAACAACACAAGGATGCTCTCTTTTACATTATTTTTCAATTGATGCAATATGACCCCAACTGTAGCTTTTTACAAATGTCTTATATTTATGTGGAGTGAGATGTTGAAACCTAAAATCTCTTTGCCCAGGATCAGACTGGAGTAATTGGAGCTTGAAATCTATTTCTGTGTTGGTGAAGGTGAAGGTCACGGACATGCATTGGTGAAGATAGCATCAGCAAACTCCACCACATGTACATGAACATACAGCTTACAATAAAAACACTTTAAAGTGATACTTCAGTATGGTTGCCTGAAATTGCATCTACCATGTTGCTATACCTAGAAAAGCTAGTGAAATGCCACATGCATTTCCCCCGTTTATGTGAATTAATAGATATGTAGGTCTTTGTGTTGACCTGAGGCCATTACAGAGCATAGCCCCTCTATCTCCCAGCAGAGCGGCGCTGAAACATGGCAAGAATATGGAGAGGGCTGGATTTAACTGAGTGAATGTGAATGAGCCCACTCTCCAAAGCTGCACGCCTCATTCTGTGTGTGCTGTTGTCTCGTCATCCTCATCATCGATTACCCTCAAGGCACAAATGAAAAATGGATTCATGTTCCCTGCAGCTGTATACTCGGCTCCGGTCAGACTAATCTATATTACAAATGCAGGTGCTTGCCTACACACACACACACACACACACACACACACACACACACACACATATATATATATATATATATATATATATATATATATATATATATATATATATATATATATATATATATATATATATATATATATATATATATATATATATATATATATATATATATATATATATATATATATATATATAAAAATGTGTTTTTCACCTTCCACGGTGGTAGGTCTCTCTCACCCTCATTGAGCTCGGGTCCTCTACCAGAGGCCTGGGAGCTTGAGAGTTCTGCGCAGTATCTTTGCTGTTCCCAGTACTGCACTTTTCTGGACTGAGATGTCCATTGTTTTTCCCGGTATCTGTTGAAGCCACTCTTCCAGTTTGGGGGTTACAGCCCCGAGTGCTCCGATCACCACAGGCACCACTGATGCCTTTACTTTCCAGGCTCTCTCCAGCTCTTCCTTGAGCCCCTGGTATTTCTCTAGCTTCTCGTGTTCCTTTTTCCTGATATTACCATCGCTTGGTATTGCGATGTCCACCACCACGGCTCTGCTCTGTTTCTTATCCACCACCACTATGTCTGGTTGGTTCGCCATCACCATTCTGTCAGTCTGTATCTGGAAGTCCCACAGGATCTTGGCTCGGTCATTCTCCACAACCTTTGGAGGTGTTTCCCACCTTGATCCTGGGGTTTCCAGCCCGTACTCTGCACAGATGTTTCTGTACACTATGCCCGCCACTTGGTTATGTCGCTCCATGTATGCTTTCCCTGCCAGCATCTTACACCCTGCAGTTATGTGCTGGACTGTCTCAGGAGCCTCTTTGCACAGTCTACACCGTGGGTCTTGTCTGGTGTGGTAGATCTGGGCCTCTATTGCTCGAGTGCCCAGGGCCTGCTCCTGAGCAGCCAGGATCAGTGCCTCTGTGCTGTCCTTCAGACCAGCCCTCTCAAGCCATTGGTAGGATTTCTTGATATCAGCCACTTCAGTTATGTTCCGGTGGTACGCCCCATGTAGGGGTTTGTCCTGCCATGATGGTCCCTCCAGCACCTCTTCCTCTGGACCCCACTGTCTGAGACATTCTCTGAGCACCTCATCTGCCGGGGCCTTGTCCTTGATGTACTCAAGGAGCTTGGATGTTTCATCCTGGACAGTGGTTCCCACACTCACTAGTCCTCGGCCCCCTTCCTTCCGGCCTGCGTACAGTCTCAGGGTGCTGGATTTGGGATGGAACCCTCCATGCATGGTCAGGAGCTTTCGTGTCTTAACATCTGTGGTCTGTATCTCCTCCTTTGGCCAGCTTACAATCCCTGCAGGGTATCTGATCACTGGCAGGGCGTAGCTGTTGATTGCCTGCACCTTGTTCTTGCCATTGAGCTGGCTTCTAAGGACTTGCCTCACTCTTTGCAGGTATTTGGCCGTAGCCGCTTTCCTTGTTGCCTCTTCAAGGTTGCCATTTGCTTGTGGGATACCAAGGTACTTGTAACTGTCCTCAACGTCTGCTATTGTTCCCTCTGGGGAAAGATATATATGGTATATATATATATATATATATATATATATATATATATATATATACAGTGAGGAAAATAAGTATTTGAACACCCTGCTATTTTGCAAGTTCTCCCAATTAGAAATCATGGAGGCGTCTGAAATTTTCATCATAGGTGCATGTCCACTGTGAGAGACATAATATTAAAAGAAAAATCCAGAAATCAATGTATGATTTTTAAAAAACTATTTATATGTATGATACAGCTGCAAATAAGTATTTGAACACCTGTCTATCAGCTAGAATATTATCCTAAATCAGATGGACCTGTTTGAGGTCGCTGGCTAAATAAAGAGTTTGAGGTCGCTGGCTAAATAAAGACACCTATCCACCTCATACAATCAGTAAGACTCCAACTACTAACATGGCCAAGACCAAAGAGCTATCCAAAGACACCAGAGACAAAATTGTACACCTCCACAAGGCTGGAAAGGGCTACGGGGAAATTGCCAAGCAGCTTGGTGAACAAAGGTCCACTGTTGGAGCAATCATTAGAAAATGGAAGAAGCTAAACATGACTGTCAGTCTCCCTTGGACTGTGGCTCTATGCAAGATCTCACCTCGTGGGGTCTCAGTGATCGTAAGAAAGGTGAGGAATCAACCCAGAACTACACGGGAGGAGCTGGTCAATGACCTGAAAAGAGCTGGGACCACCGTTTCCAAGGTTACTGTTGGTAACACACTAAGACGTCATGGTTTGAAATCAT